GGGCGGCTGCAGCAGTGGGCAGGGGCACAGTGCCGCCTGCAGAGGAGCCCGCACGCCCCAGGGAAGGCAGCAGCGTGTGGGGCGCAGGCTGCTGTCCCACGGGCGGCTGCAGCAGTGGGCAGGGGCACAATGCCAGCCCCACACTCTGGGCCTCGGGAACTGGGGCTTTGAGGCCGTCCTTACCAGGCACTCGCCAAACTTCCATGGCTCCTCTGTGTTCACCAGGCCCCCAAGATCCCTCCTCTTTAGGAACCTGGTCACAGCCAGCAGTGCTTTCTGAGAGGCCTGCAAAGCAACAGAGACCAGGAGATGGCACTCCAGCCCAGAGCACAGGACCCATGTCCCTGGACCAAGGCCAGGAGGAGGCTGGAGCCCAGGAGGTGCCAGGGCAAGAGGCAGCCCAGCCCCCTCCCACGGGGACACCAGAGCTCATGAGTCCTCACCTTTTTCACGACCAGGTTCTCATCATACCGGTGGAAGTAGAGTGGGAGCAGGCTCAGGCACACGTGTGGCTTCAGGGGCCTCTTTCCCACTCTCTCCATCAGTCTCATCAAAAGAGTGAAGATGACAATGGAGCCCTCCCGCACACTCCTGTCATCCTGGTGGAAAGAAAGAGGAAAAGACCTCAGCACCAGCTTCTCCAGGCCCCACTGGGCACAGGCCTCAAAATCCACAGGGACCAAAGTCTCCCAGCAGTACCCAGAGCCCGTGGCGGGGGGGCACAGAGCCTTACGTGGTCAAAGAGTGGCCGGAGCGCCTCAGCCAACTGCAGGCCGGTGGGGGTGGATATTAGGGGGTCTTCGCTGTGGACTCTCTTCTGGAGCTGTGTCCAGAGACGGCTCCAGAGCACGTTGTCGAGCACAGAGAGGGTCATCCAAACCACATCTCTGTCTGCATCTCCCAGTAGCTGCACAAGGTTTTCATTCAGGCTCCAGATGCTCTTGGCCTGTGAGGAACACAATGCTGTGCTGTGAAGCCATGAATGGCTGCATCACCAACCCTGTTCCAGCGGGGCAGCCCCACGTGCTGCCGCAGGGCCCAGAGGCCAAAGGCCTGTCCTAAAGGACTTGGGCAGCTGAACGGGGAGGCAGCAGAGCTGAGAGCAGCTGCCACAGCTCCTGAAGCCCAGCCAAGCCCAAGCGACTGTGCTCCCCAGCCCCAGGATTCCAGCACGGCTTCAGCCAACTGCCCCTTCTCACCATCTCGGGATCCTGGCTGAGTGCTACGAGGACTCTGAGCGCCAGTTGACGCCACTTTTTGTTCATGCTCCCCAAATTCCTTGAAAGGATCTCCAGGACCCTGTCACCACATTCTCTTGTGTCCAGGCAGTCCAAGACCTGAAAGGCATGGAGCAGTGATGGGGTGCCCGGCTGGCAGGAGCCCGGACCCGCACAGGGCTGGGCCCAGGCAGCAGCACAGGGTGCGGCACCATCCCGGGCAGCTGCGGCCACGAGAGGCCAGAGAGATGGACGCAGCTCGGTGAGGCAGTGCTCACCACCAGGCTCACCTCCACAAGGAATGCCATGGCAGGGAGGTCCCAGCACGGCTCCTCCCTGCGCAGCAGCTCCAGCAGGTGAAGTGTGATCCGGGAACACAAGGGGCTGGAGACACGGCGCATCTCCCTGGCAGGGGGAAAAAGGTATCATCGACCTGAGCCAGGTGGGCAAACCTCTCCCGGGAGGGACTCACAGAGGCCTGGTCTTTCCCCACCAGCCTGGGAAGGGACGAGGGCACTCTGGGAGGCGGCTTCTCCTGTGCACCCGCCTCTCCCAGCCTTTTCCACTCTGCTCGGCCATCCCTCGGTGACAAGGCCCAGATGTGAGGGGTGCCCCATGCACAGACAGAAATGACAGGGGCAGCGGGGACAAGGGGGTCTCACCTGGCCAGCAGAGCCGCTGCATAGCGGCGGCTGCGAGCATTGAGGAGCCTCGCCCAGCCATGACTGTTTTCCACCGAATTCACCACATCCTCACAGTGCAAACAGCACAGCAGGGCCTTCACGGTCAGCACTGCAAACCTGTGTGCAGAGCAAAGTCCAGGTCATGTTGGGAGCCCTGGCCCCAGCCCTGAGGGCATGGGAGGGAGGGGAGGACTGGGATGGAGCACCTGTTTGGGTTGGTGGGAAGGTCGTTTTGCTCCTGGCATCCCCTCCAGAAGTTGTCGACCTCCTCTGACATCTGCTCTGTGCTGATGAAGATTTGGAACAGCAGAGCCACGAGGAGATGGGGGGAATAGTCCATCAACGGCCCTGGGCACTGGGGCTCTTGGACAATCATCCACAGTGCCAGAGTTGCCTGCAAAAGATAAACCAGCTGGACCCAGTGCTCAGTGCCCAGACTTCCATGTGGCAGGACCCAAGCGTGGGAGGGGAAGGCCAGGGGAGACTCAGGGGGAGTGCCAAGCCTGGTGCCCCTGAACCTGCTCCTAGCGCAGATTTCCATCCCAGTGCCTGCAGGGAGATGGGCAGGGATATGCTGTGCTGGGGAAGGATGGAGACCTGCCAGAGAGGCAACCTGGGGGCAAGCAACGGTTCCAGAAACTCACAGCCAGGGCAAAGACGTCTGTGTTGTCCCCATCGGAGGTGCGCGTGTAGTACCACGGCCAGTCCTCCATCACGCCGAGCAGGGTTGGCAGCACCTTCTGCAGTGTCCTTCCCGATGAGGCGATGGTCCTCCACATGGTTGCAGCAGCTCTGTGGAGTCAGAGCTCTGCGTCAGGGGGGTCTGGACCACAGCGCCCTGACCTGGGCAGCTGCAGGGGCCGGGGGACAGAGCCACAGTGTTTCCAGGGGCAGGGGGTGATGGGCTCTAGCGGCTGGTGAGCGCGGAGCCCTCGAGGCAGCTGGGGCCCGTACCTGTCGCACGAGGGGGCACAGCGCAGGAGGGTGATGGCGACATCCACGGGGTGTGCCTCGGTCAGTGCTAGAAGGGTGTTATCCAGCACGTGCCCAGCAGACACATTGGAGGTCAGCCACGAGTGGATGGACCTCACCACAGCCGGCACCTGGAGGGGACACAAGGGAGAGTTGGAGAGCTGCCAGAGAGAGCAATTCCCCAGCTTCCTCCCAGAAGTGCTTCCCTTCCCACCTCACGCTGCTGACCTCAAATGCTGAGGGGGCCCAGCAGATCAAGCTTGAGGGCCCATACAATGCCTGCCCACAGGATGCTTACTTGAGCAGAGATAACTCTGTCCCCAGAAAAGTCCAGATTGGGAGCATCTGGCAGGCGCTGAAGGGGTGTGCTGTCAGTGCCTGGGATGCCCTCAGTCTCTGGGGCATCAGCCTTGGCCTTGAGCTTGGTCGAGTTGAGCTCAGGCTGTGCCAAGACTTCAGTTGGTGAGGTCCTGGTCATTCTACGGTGAACAGGAACAGATTTCCGCATCCTCTGCAGGAGAATGAAGGGTAGGGAAGAGAGAGATGTGCCATGGAGAGCTCTGACAGTGGTGCCAGACTGAGCAGTGACAGCAGGCTCAGCCCAGGGGGGGATGGCTGCAGGTACCTGATCAGCTCTGCGGGAGCGGCCACGGG